CATCCATCATCCGCGAGATGGACATCCACAGCGTCAAACCCCTTGTAGTTCCGCATGAACTTCTTGAGCACGTCATGTGCTGCGTCGCCCCGGAGTCGACCAGCCAGATGTCGCTCGATTTCGCAGATGTCGTTTCACCGATCGAAAAGAGGTAGTCGCCCGAGTCTTCTTCTTGAGCGACGTTTGCACGTTGTGATCGATAGCGGTCGCCGCTGTCTTGAGCACGCTGTGGCCGGTGTCTCTCCGTGTTTTCTTGGATGCGCGAGGGGCACTCCGCCATCCAGTGACCAATCTTTCCGCAATTGTGGCACGGCCAGGACTTCTTCACTGGTCGCCCTTTGCGCTGATTGTCCCTTGTGATGAACGCTTGACCTTGCGAAGCTTCATCACCTTTACTTCCTTGCTCCTTCCGCTTCATTTCTTCATGAAGCAGTCGAGACGTCACGAGCTCCCAGCTAAGAGTGTCTGAGCGCGACTCCAAAGCTACGATCAAGAATTGATACGAGTCACTCAGGCTGCCGAGGAGTGTGATCACCAGATCGTCCTCGCAGACTGGAGCCCCCACCGCTTCTAGCTGTTCCGCCAGCGTCTTGAGCTTGTTGATGTGTTCGAGCACATCGTCGCCTTCTTCCATCATTGTCGTGAAGAAGCGACGGCGCAAGAACAGCTTGTTGGCAAGACTCTTCTTCTCGAAGTGGTCTTCCAACCTTGACCATGCGTCGCATGCACCACTTGCCGACCGGACCAACGGTAGCTGGGAATCTTCCATGGCTAGACAGATCACTGCCATCGCCTTTCTTGACTTCCTCTTGTACGTCGCTTGGTCCAACTGAGTCTCGCACTGTTCCGCCTTGATCTCACCGCTGACGACCTCCCATAGGTCCCGTTCCTCCAGCACCATCTGCATCTTGAACTTCCAGGCGTGGAAGTTAGTTCCATCGAACTTGGAGATGCGGAGGGAGGAGGCGTCCATGGCAGCTAAGCTTGAATTGTTGGCGGTTTCAGAGTCTGACGAACTTGGGCTCATAACCTGATGAACTTTAGACTTCTTGGTCCGAGTGCAAAACGCAAAGTGAATATATATTTATAATAGGTACTTAGTTCGCAACTTTGAATACTACCTCTAAGCCTATTATTCGCAGTGACGTCATCCAGTGACGTCACCCACTGACGTCATGCAATGACGTCATCCAGTGACGTCATTTCCTGACTTCGCCCTTACTGGTACATACCGGTACCCACCGGTATAGCGAAGCTTGGTCTTCCACTTGCTTCAACACTTGACGCAGCTTGACGAGGTGTCTTCTTCACAGCCGCTGTCTTTTCAACAAACGGTACTTCGTGACATTCATTGATGACAAGTCAAGATACTGTGTCGTCTATCTGCTTAAGAGCAAATCTGAAGTTGCGGCGAAGTTCATGGAATACGCTGCGATGGCCGAAACGCAAACCGGAAAGCGCGTGAAGTACCTTCAAAGCGACAATGGGGGTGAATACAAGTCCGACAAGCTGGCACGATTCTGCGCGGAACGGGGAATACAACAAAGGTTCACACCCCCATATACTCCTCAGCTAAACGGAGTAGCTGAGAGAATGAATCGCACGCTGGTCGAGTGTGCGCGTTGCATGATGGAACACGCTGGACTGGGAAAGAGCTACTGGGGTGAAGCAGTGATGACGGCGATGTTTCTTCGAAACCGCTGTCCAACACGTGCCATTCACCAAGACAAGTCTCCATATCAAGTGTGGACGATGAAGAAACCGATTCTGGCCAACCTTAAAGTGTTTGGATGCCACGCGTATGTTCAAGTGCCTCAAGACAAACGCGCGAAGTTCGACTCCAAGTCATCACTCTGTCGTTTCCTGGGATACGCCGAACACCAGAAGTCATATCGATTTGAGGAAGTGTCAACAGGAGCGATCAAGATCAGTCGCGATGCCACATTCATGGAAGACAAGTTTGATGAAGGTCCGCGCAACTACAACGATGAGTCAAGTGTCGTTGAGTTTGATGATCATGATGAGGACGAAGAAAAAGAAGAAGGTAAAACTGACGACGACATGGACTCGAGCGACGATGACAACGAAGACACCAGGTCTTCGAAGAGCAACATCAAGAGACACACGCGCACTCAATCACTTGAGAAAGCTACCGTCATTCCAAGTCCCAAGCGAAGAACATACAGAGGTCCGTCGCTTGAGCATGTGTCAGCGGCTGCAATGGATTTTGAAGCAGCCTACATCGTTGATTCAGTGGGGGAAACGCCGACTACATTCAAGTCGGCGATGGAATCAAGCGACTCCGGCAAGTGGAAAGAAGCGTGTGACTCGGAGTTCGATTCGCTTTAGAGTGATGAACTTTAGACTTCTTGGTCCGAGTGCAAAACGCAAAGTGAATATATATTTATAATAGGTACTTAGTTCGCAACTTTGAATACTACCTCTAAGCCTATTATTCGCAGTGACGTCATCCAGTGACGTCACCCACTGACGTCATGCAATGACGTCATCCAGTGACGTCATTTCCTGACTTCGCCCTTACTGGTACATACCGGTACCCACCGGTATAGCGAAGCTTGGTCTTCCACTTGCTTCAACACTTGACGCAGCTTGACGAGGTGTCTTCTTCACAGCCGCTGTCTTTTCAACACTCCCTCTCGACTCGTTAGCTGCGGCACCTTGGATCCCAAGTCGATCGCGAATGTTTTCAAATTGTACAGCGGCGATCGGCTTGGTCATCATGTCTGCCAGCATATCTTGAGTCGGGCAATACTCCAAAACGACTTCACCTGATTCCACCTTCTCACGCACAAAATGGTAGCGTATGTCGATGTGTTTTGTTCTCTTATGGAACTCCGGGTTCTTGGCGAGAGCGATTGATCCTTGGTTGTCTTCATACATCTTGATCGCTTCGTCGCTTGTCATCTCACCAAGTTCCCCCAACAACAACTTGAGCCATACTGCTTCTTTGGTTGCTTCGGAAAGCGCCATGTATTCTGCTTCTGTTGAAGATAGCGCGACCGTCCGTTGTTTCTGGCTTTTCCAGCTGATGCATCCTCCGCTCATCATGAACACATAGCCGCTTGTACTTCGTCTTGACTCAATGTCGCCGGCCCAGTCTGCGTCGGTGTACCCGCAGATACGGCTTCCTTCTTCACGTGTAAACTCAAGACCATGATTGGGCGTTGCTTGCAGGTATCTCAGCACACGCTTCAAAGCTTGCCAGTGAGTCGGGCATGGGTCGGACGAGAACTGGGATAATGATCCCACTGCAGCAGCTAGATCCGGACGTGTGGCGACCATGAGATACATGATGCCTCCGACAGCACTTCGATATGGCACGTTGCACATGGTGTCTTCGTGCTTGCATTCTTGTTCACACATGTTCTTGGTTAGCTTCAGGCCGGGATCTTGAGGCGTCTTCACTGGCTTGCTGTTATCCATTCCGAACTTGGTTAACACGGACTTGAGAAACTTGGTTTGTTGTACAGTCACCATTCCCGTCTTACGGTCGTTCTTGATCTCCATGCCGAGAAAGTAATCGAGCTCACCGAGATCCGTCATTTCGAAGCGTTTGCTCAGCGCCATCTTGGTTGACTTGAGGAGTTCGTTGTTGCTGCTGGCCAGGATGAGATCATCGACGTAGAGCACCACGAGAATCATGTCTTGGTCGTCTCGCTTGATGTAGATGCAGTGGTCCGATTCGCACTTCTTGAATCCTATCTTGATCATGAACCCATCGATTGTTTGGTTCCACATGCGAGGCGATTGCTTCAAGCCGTAGAGTGATCTCTTTAGCTTGCACACATAGTCCGGCTGTGTTGCATCCAGGTATCCGTCCGGCTGGTCCATGTAGATGTCTTCGTTGAGGGAGCCGTTAAGAAACGCTGTCTTGACGTCCATCTGATGTAGCATTAGGCCGTACTTAGCCGCCATACTGAGCACCACACGAATCGATGTGAACTTGGCCACCGGTGCGAAAGTTTCTTCATAGTCAACTCCGAATTTCTGTGAGAATCCTTTGGCCACAAGTCTTGCCTTGAAACGTTCAACTTCGCCATCTTGATTCTCCTTTACACGAAAAAACCATCGGCACCCGATGGCCTTGCGACCTTTCGGAAGAGGCACGATTTCCCACGTGTCGTTTCTCTGTGTTGAAAAGACAGCGGCTGTGAAGAAGACACCTCGTCAAGCTGCGTCAAGTGTTGAAGCAAGTGGAAGACCAAGCTTCGCTATACCGGTGGGTACCGGTATGTACCAGTAAGGGCGAAGTCAGGAAATGACGTCACTGGATGACGTCATTGCATGACGTCAGTGGGTGACGTCAGTGGGTGACGTCACTGGATGACGTCACTGCGAATAATAGGCTTAGAGGTAGTATTCAAAGTTGCGAACTAAGTACCTATTATAAATATATATTCACTTTGCGTTTTGCACTCGGACCAAGAAGTCTAAAGTTCATCATGGCGAAAGAAGAGAACAGTGTTTTGCGCGGTCCCAAAGGGTGTCGAAGTCGATGAAGACTTTGACTTCTCTGAACTGATGAAAGCGATCTACGGACTGAAACAAGCATCGCGGGTATGGAGCGATACTTTCCATGACTTTGTTTGCTCGAATGGATTTCAAGCGTCCGACTTCGACCCATGCCTCGATCTCAAGGTCGAAAGCGGACAGTGCGTGCAGTTGTTGGTCTACGTCGATAATGTGTTGGCAATGGGTAGTTCGACTGAGATGATTGTGATTACCAAGGGTGACTTGAAGATGCGTTCCGAGATCACTGACAGCGGCAAGCGCGCGTTCGTATTGGGCATCGAGCTGTGTACAACATCGGCGGTAGTGTGACAATGTGCCAGCGACGATACGTGGACGACGTTCTCGAGCGTTTTGGCATAAGCGATTGCAATGCTGTCATCAGTCCATCGGATATCAGTTCTCGACGCACACCAAGCGACGCAGCAACCAAGATCAACGCTCCGTCTTGTGAGGCAGTAGGCGCTTTGATGCACTTAATGACCGCGACAAGACCAGACTGTTGTAATTTGAGCGCGAGGCGAAGAGAAAACGAAGCGGAGAGACCGGAGAGAATGAAGCAGAGAACACTTGCTCACTTGAGGGAGGATTCGAAAGTGATTGATTTATAGGTCTTAACTTCTGCCTACCCTAGACTGCATCCAATCACATGGTGCATCTAATCAACCTGATTTACACGCGTCCAATCATCCTACGCGTCTAATCATCTCTGAGGTAATTACCGATGTAAAAACTATCTCGTAAGAAATACGCGCTAGGTTCGGATTGTACCGGTAACCCTCAATACGCCCCCTCAATCCGAACACGCACGGATGCCAAGCGCCGCCGTCAAGTTCTTGTGACGCGGTCCGTGAAGTCCCTTCGTCATGATGTCCGCCAACATCAACGTCGTCTCGCAGTATTCAAGCTTCACTTCGCCGCGCTTGACTTCATCACGGATGTGATGGTACTTGATGTCGATGTGTTTAGCGCGGCCGTGGTTGACCGGATTCTTCGTCATCTTGATGCACGACTGGTTGTCTTCACGGATGACGAGCTCGGGTCCTTCTTCGTTTGCAGCCGCCATGATCTCGCACAGCAAGCGATTGATCCACTTGCCTTCTTGGATCGCCAGGCTGAGCGCGATGTACTCCGCTTCGCTTGTAGACAGTGACACACTTGGCTGTTTCTTGCTGCCCCAACTCACCGGAGCACCCAATAGCATGAAGACGTAGCCGGACGTCGATTTGCGATCAGCAAGGTCACCGGCCCAGTCTGCATCTGAATAGCCACGAAAGTCGATCTTCGCACTTGGCTTGTAGCAGATTCCATGCCTCTTGGTGCCTTGTAGGTAGCGGAAGATGCGCTTGACTGCAACCCAGTGTTCTTCTTGGGGTTTCTCCATGAACCGTGACACAAAGCTTACAGCATAGGCGATCTCCGGTCGCGTTGCAGTCGTCAGGTGCATCAAAGCACCCACTGCTTCACGGAATGGGACATCCACCTTGCTTGCAGAGTTGCTTGGAACCAGTCGAGAGCTGACGTCCACCGGACTTGCCACAGCCTTGCACTCATCCATTCCAAAGCGCTTGAGGACATCGTCGACATAACGGCGCTGACACATAGTCATGCTGCCATCTTCACCGTCCAATAACTCGATCCCAAGAACAAAGGCACACTTGCCGCTGTCCGTCATCTCGAAGCGTGTCTTGAGGTCGTTCTTGGTGCGCGCAATCATCTCGAGCGAGCTTCCAGTCACCAAGACATCGTCCACGTAGACCAGCACAAAAACACAATGGCCTTCCGAAGTCATGATGTAGAGACATGGATCGAATCCCGACGCTTGAAAACCAATCGAGCGTATGAACTCGTCGAAGGTCTCGTTCCAAACACGCGAGGCTTGCTTGAGACCGTAGATCGCCTTGATCAGCTCGAGACAGTCGAAATCACCTTCCATCTTGACGCCTTCCGGAACAGCGCAGAACACCTTCTCCTTCATCACTCCATACAGGAACGCAGTCACCACATCGAGCTGGTCGAGGGGCCATCCAAAGTGCTTGGTAATGGCGATGACCATTCGCAGCGTCACATACTTGACCACGGGCGAGAACGTCTCCGTGTAGTCGATGCCATACTTTTGGCGAAAACCCTTGGCCACAAGTCGTGCCTTGTATTTCTCGATCGACCCATCCGCCTTGCGCTTGATCTTGAAGACCCACTTTGTGCCAATGGCGCTTTGTCCGTTGGGTAACTTGGCCGCACGAAAGACACCGCGAAGCTTCATCGAATCGAGCTCCGCATCAATTGCCTTGCGCCAGTGTACTTGGTCCGGGCCAGACACTGCTTCTTCAAATGTCGACGGCTCCGAAAAATCGACCGCTGCTTCGACGGCGTTTGCACTCGCATGCCAAAACGCGGAGGAAGTCGGTGTGTCATGTTGTTCCTCCGACTTCCTTTCTTCATCTTCGTTGGCTCGACGTGAAGAGAGGTCATCCGGCGCACTTGACTCTTCCAATCCGGGTCGTTGGCGCACTGCTCGGGGCATGCTTGCGTCGTCATTGTCGTGACTGGGTTGGGCCTTGCGCTTTCCTGTTTGTTTGAAGTGTCTCGGACGCGGTTCTTCATCATCAAGATCGATCGATTCGAAGTCCAGGCCATCAACATCGTCATCGGAAATCATCATCGACATTCCAAAGGCCGATTCATCAAAGTTGACATCGCGACTTATCATCACCTGCCCCGCTTCGATGTCGTAAACTCGATACGCCTTGGACACTTCTTCGTAGCCCAAAAACAATCCAGCCCGGGCCTTGGGATCCCACTTGAGTCGTTTCTCCTTCGGGGTCAAGATGTATGCTTGGCACCCAAAAACGCGCATGTGCTTGACACTTGGCTTAGAACTGTAGACAATCTCGAACGGTGTCTTGTGTGGAATCTTGGGTGACGGCAAACGGTTCTTCACATAGACGGCCGTCATTGCCGCTTCAGCCCAGAAGCACTTGTCCAACTTGGCATGATGGAGCATGCTACGACCGATGGTGACGATAGTTCGAATCGCGCGTTCAGCAGTTCCATTGGCTTGATGTGCGTATGGCACCGTGGTTTGTTGCTCGATGCCTTCGACTTCGTAGAAATCTTGAAGCGAGTTCGTCGCAAACTCGCGGGCTCCATCGTGTCGCACAAATTTGACCTTCTTGTTGAACTGCGTCTGTATCATCGTGATGTACTTCTTGATGCACTCTTCGCTCTCTGACTTGGAATGCAGACAAAAACCCTTCATGCATCCGCTGGCTTCATCCACGATCAGCAGCAGATACTTGCTGCCACCCAGAGATTTTTCTTCCATGGGTCCGCAGATGTCGAAGTGGAGCATCTCGAAGGTGTTGTAGGTGCGTTTGTCACGGTTGCTCGGGAATGGTTTTTGGACCATATTCCCTTCTTGGCATCCTCGACACACACTTGATCCATTCGGCTTGGAAGGGATGTGAGCGTCCTTGATCATGTGGCTTGTCACCATCCTGCGAAGCACGTCGACTGGAGCATGGCCCATTCGCGCATGTAGATCAACAGCGTTGCTGAGTGATGTCGCATTGGCCGATCGCTGCGTCGTGCGAAGCCAGTAGAGTCCGTCTACAAGATCCGCAGCTGCCACCACTTGATTGGAATCCTTGCGAGCGACGTACATCGTATCCCCGTCAAACACTACTTGAAACTTGCCATACTTGGTGATCTGGGGCACCGCGAGCAGATTTTTGCTCATGCTGGGCACATAGAGCGCGTTCTTGATCTCGATCTCGCACTCTTCCCCGTTTGGCAGAATCACCTTTTCCACGATGGTCCCCACACCTTTGATGGCCGCCTTGTTGCCATCAGCCACCAGGATCTCGCCATCATTGCCTTCGACCAAGCTTGCAAACTTGAACTTGTCGTGGCAGATGTGATGTGTTGCCCCGCTGTCAACGGCCCACATTCCTGGTCCATTCTTGTTCGTCGAAACTCCGCATTCGAACGAAACTGCAAACGCCACTCGATCGTAGCTGTTGCCTTCATCATAATGTCGCCACTGGACATTGTTTGCCCCGCGTCCACGACCATTGCCGCCGCGTTGGGCTCCTCGACTTTCATCCTTTTGCTTCGTCCAGCAACGCTCTGCCGTGTGCCCCACCTTGCCGCAGTATGTGCATTGGTAGGGCTTGCGCTCGGTACTGAATGCCTTTGTCGCATCTTCAGTCTTCACCGTTGTCGTTGCCGTTGTCATCTTCTCGCCTTGTCGCTTGATGTGCTCGTTAGTCAGCACCTTGACCACATCTTGCGTGCGCAGCTCTGCATTGCTCATCTCCAAGTTCAGAACCACGTTCTCGAAACTCTTCGGGAGACTGAGCAGCAAGCAGATCGCAATGTCTTCGTCTTCCATCTTGGCACCGATGCTGCTGAGCTTGGCGCCGATGTTCAAGACTTCGTTGCAATGGTGCAAGACGTTGGCACCTTCTGCCATCTTGATGCTGAACAGCTGGCGCTTGAGGTAGATGCGTCCCGCCTTCTGCGACCCACCATAGAGCATCTTCAACCGCGACCACGCTGTCCACGCTTCTTCACAGTTGTCGACCACATGGTGGTAGTCGGCGTCCATGTGGAGCAACATCAACCCGAACGCGATGTTGCTCGCCTTGACGTACTCGTCGGAAGCTCGCGTGTCGGTGAAGGTTGGAGACGTTTCGCGGTTCACGACGTACCAGACTGACTTCGTCAGAAACACGCCGCGCATGTAGCGACACCAGGTTGAGTAGTTGTCCCCATCGAACTTATCGATGGAGACACTGGCCGAGGTGTTGTTGGACGACATGGCGCTTGGGCTCATAACCTGTTGTAACTTGAGCGCGAGGCGAAGAGAAAACGAAGCGGAGAGACCAGAGAGAACGAAGCAGAGAACACTTGCTCACTTGAGGGAGGATTCGAAAGTGATTGATTTATAGGTCTTAACTTCTGCCTACCCTAGACTGCATCCAATCACATGGTGCATCTAATCAACCTGATTTACACGCGTCCAATCATCCTACGCGTCTAATCATCTCTGAGGTAATTACCGATGTAAAAACTATCTCGTAAGAACTACGCGCTAGGTTCGGATTGTACCGGTAACCCTCAATACAGACATTCCTTTTCTCGTGGGCTTCAGGGAGAAACCCCAAGTCGAGCATTGGGGGCGGTCAAGCGTATTCTTCATTATTAAACAATTGTGTTCGCATTGAGGGGGAGTATTGCGGGTTATGTTCTTCTTTGTACCGGTTACAAGTTATCCTGCCCGATCCGATCTCGCGTCATTTCGGTAGGTCTGTGACGTCATCTTGATGACGTTACATATTGATTAGTCGTGTAGGATGATTGGACGTACGTGAATCAGGTAGATTAGACGCATTATGTGATTGGATGAAGTCTAGAGTAGGCAGAGTTAAGACCTAAAATTAATCACTTTCAAACATTCCGTTTTCAGCACAAGTTGTCTTCACTTTGCGGAGTGAACTTCTTTAGCATTCTACAAGCTTCGCATCCTCGTCCAGTGCTCTTCAGACTTAAACAGGTATGATCCCAAGCACGTTGCCCTCTTCCCAAGATTCTACCGCCAAGATCTTCATCGACAAATTCGACGGAAACAACTGCGCGACGTGGATCTGCTACATGCATGGTGTGTTCCTCACCATATAGACGTGGCAAGTGGTCAATCGGGAGACGACACCAAGCTTCGTGGATTCTCGCGCCAGTGACGAATATGTCAAGACGGACAACACTGCGTTCGGACTGATGTTGCTCCTTATGGACGCCGACTATCATCGTGTGGTTGATGGCTGCGAAGAAGCATGAATTGCGCGGGCGCGTTTGATGACACTGTATGGTGGATCGCAGAAGGCAGGACTGATCTTCTTGAAGCGAAAACTGTTCAGCATGGATGTGGCGGAAGGCAGCAATGTCATGCATCGTTGTAATGATTTGTTAACATCAGCGCAAGGCTCAGCAGGCTCGGCTCTAAGATAGAGGATGAGGGCTTAGCGATCTACTTGTTACGCAGCCTCCCCAAAAGATACGAGAAAGTCATTCTAGACTTGGAGATGAGCAGCACGGAAATGCAATTGTGCGGCGTCGTTAAGATGTTGACGAACGAGAACATCAAGCGGCAAGGTGCCAAGACTGCGGTGGTGAAGACTGAAGAAGTGATTAAGGCCTTCAGTACTGAGCGCGAGGTTCGTTAATGCTCGTTCTGCAAAAAAAATTGGGTACGCGGTGAACGTTGCTGGACCAAGCAGAAGAAAGAGAATCGAGGAGCTCGACGCAGCAGAAATGCTCGTGGACGTGGAGCGAATCAATTCCAGTGGTGTTTGGAAGGTACCGAGCACTTGGTGAGAGAATCGAAGCTTGAAGAACGCTGAAGAATTCTGCACTGCAAAGTGAAGACGACTTACGAAGGAGAAGGAATATTCGGAAGTGAATTTGTTTGTGGGTTTGTTTAAGGAACCTGATTTGTCTGTGACCTGGTTTTAATGTTGTGCACATATAAATCATAAATCATGTAGGTCATACAATCATCCTATGCGTCTAATCATTGGTAAAAACTCACCGTAATTACGCAAGATCGACTTGGTAGGTTTATGGTTTCCACGGTAACTGATGATAGTATCTTATCCGTCAACCCACCATAAGTGGCAAGGCTACAACAGCAACAACAACCGCAAATACTATCGAGTAGCGTTTGCTGTTTCACTGGAATGCGGACTATCAACGATCGAGAACAAGTCTAGAATATGAGCGATTGACAGAAGTGCGACACATTACATCTGCCATGAAAAGAACAAGCTCGAAGTTCTGGACGAGCGCAATGAAGGCGAAGTGCTGGTCGCAGATGGGAACAAGGCTGTGATCAAAGGTGTGGGGACTATCGTCGAAAATGTGGTCCTTTCAAACGGTGAAGAGCGTGAGATCGTGATCAAGAACGCGCTTTACTTTTCAAGCATGAGCAAGAATCTCCTGTCAATTCTGCAGTCAATAAAAGCGGCACGTTTTATATGATGTTCAATGATGCCGAAATGAGGAATTCGCGCAAAGACTCCGAGAAAGTGATGGCGATGGCAGACCTTGCAGATGGACTCTACTGGCTTCGTATACTGCAACGATACTTAAATGCTACATCGTGATCAAGCAAAAGATCTTCATACTCGTATGGGCCACGCGCCACCTGAGGTCTTTTACAGAAAGGTCTCCAAGGGCGCGATCATGGATGCCAAGATGCCACCAAGATCAAGTTAATCCAGTGTATATAGTGGTTGTCATGAAGGAAAAATTGGTGCAATGACCGTTTCCAAGCAACCGGAACAAGCGTCACTATGATCTGTTTGAGCTTCTGCACATCATCACGAGTGGCCCGGAGGAAGTCGAGTCGCCAGATGGAAGCAAGTACCTACTGCTGATCGTCGATTAAGGCAGAGGATGCATGAAGGACTCTAATATGCGCGCCAAATCCGACAGCAAAGAGTACATCAAGAAGTGCACCGCTGCGGTGCATACACAGTTTGACTGGACGGGTGAATATGTTCGACACGATGGTGCACGTGATTTGCGACGACTCGCTTGAGGCATTCTACGAGGACCACGGGATCGAGCAACAAGCAACGGTCCCATGTGCGCATCAAAAAATGGCATAGAAGAACGGTGATTTGACCATCGTGACAATCAGCCGCAGTATTCTTCACTACGCCAAATTGGACAAGTGCTTTGGGCCGAGGCAGCAATTGCGGCGATCTACGTCAAGAATCGCCTGTCGCTGCCTAATTTCAACGGCCAATCTCCGTTTAAGATCATCAACGGATTGCAGCCAAGTGTTCAGCACATGCGAGTTTTTGGCTGCCGAGAGTTCTTGTTGTCCCCCAAAGAAAATAGATCGAAGGCTTGAGAAGGACTGTTTATGGGGTAAAAAGAAGTGTCAAAGACACACCTGTTGACGGTCATGATTTCCTACCAGCGTTGGTAACCGTGACCGGTCCAATCCGAACCGCCTGTTCAGCTTAGTATTTACGACGTAGTTCTTACGGTAATTACCATAGTTGATTAGACGCGTAGGATGATGAGACGCTTCACATGATTTGTATGTGCACCACATATAAATCATGTAGTAAGCCCCGATAATCAATCACTTTCGAATTCTCCTTCTGCCGAGCAAGTCTTCTCTGCTCCGCTCCTCAAGCCTCTTCGCTCCCTCCGGTCTCTTCCGGTCTTCTCGTCACTCCCGTGCCATACCATCAATAAACGTATATATCAGTGCAGGGATAAATCAGGTAGCTTTAACAAAAACCCACAAATAAATTCACTTCCGAATATTCCTTCTCCTACACAAGTCGTCTTCACTTCGCAGTGTAGAATTCTTTCAAGTTCTTCAAGCTTCGTTCTCTCGCCCAGTGCTCGTTACATTTTAACACTGAGATACCTGCAAGCAATGCCCAATCACGGTCTTGAGTTCACACGTAAGAAGGAGGCCGTATCTGCGGGTACACCGACGCAGACCGGGCCGGCTACATTGACTCAAGAAGAAGTACAAGCGGCTATGTGTTCATGATGAACGGAGGATGCATCAGCTGGAAAAGCCAGAAACAACGGACGGTCGCGCTATCTTCAACGGAAGCAGAATACATGGCGCTTTCTGAAGCAACCAAAGAAGCAGTATGGCTCAAGTTGTTGTTGAGGGAATTTGGTGAGATGGCAAGCGACGAAGCGATCAAGATGTATGAAGACAACCAAGGATCAATCGCTCTCGCCAAGAACCCGGAGTTCCATAAGAGAACAAAGCACATCGACATACGCTACCATTTTGTGCGGGAGAAGGTGGAATCAGGTGAAGTCGTTTTGGAGTATTGCCCGACTCAAAATATGCTGGCGGACATGATGACCAAGCCGATCGCCGCTGTACAATTTGAAAACATTCGCGATCGACTTGGGATCCAAGGTGCCGCAGCTAACGAGTCGAGAGGGAGTGTTGGGAAGACGGCGGGTGTGAAGAAGACACCTCGTCAAGCTGCGTCAAGTGTTGAAGCAAGCCGAAGACCAAGCTTCGATATACCGGTGGGTACCGGTATGTACCAGTAAGGGCGAAGTCAGGGAATGACGTCATTGGATGACGTCAGCGGAATGACGTCACTGCGAATAATAGGCTTAGAGGTAGTATTCAAGGTTGCGAACTAAGTACCTATTATAAATATATATTCACTTTGCGTTTTGCACTCGGACCAAGAAGTCTAAAGTTCTTCACATTGGGCTTCGACTTGACGGACATCAGTGATGAGCATTACACCATGCAGTTCAAGCAAACTGGAAAGTGTGGTGAAGTCGATCTCACAAAATTGCTTGTATGAGTGTCGACCTTCCACTTGCCCAGACTTGCCGACTCACGGAGGGGGTACTCCGATCCGTGCCTTGTTGTATGACCTTGTGCTCACCTTGTGTACCCGTCGGTTGGGCTGGCTTGAGCTCTTCGTAACGGCCTTGGGAGATGTCGATCTCGCTGAGAGGTTGGGTTGAGGGTTCGCTTCCGGTGCGGAAATCTTCACACCACGAACGGGGGTTCTGCGATCCCGATCTTGGATCGCACCGATCTTGATTTGTCTTCGAGATCGGGGTCTTTGCTGTGCGGAAATCTTCACTCAGCAAATAAAAGTCCTGCGTCGATCTTGCCTTGGGATCGGTCCGATCTGGTCTTGGGATCGGCCGATCTTGCCGGAAGTGCGCAATTTGGGTAGATCGGTGTCTTGTTTCGCCAAAATGAAACGTGCCGATCTGTCCATGGGATCGCTTCGATCCTGCTCGGTCTTGTCTTGAACGCCTTGTCCAGATCTTCTGACCACTTGAGTCGTCTCGCGATCTTGTGTCCAAAATCCTTTTCCTCTTCCGTTGTGTGCTGCTACCCTAGCAGTTGAGTTGAGTGTGAGTACTTGATCGATCCGGGCCAGATATCCCGGGATCGCTCTTCTCGATCTTGGCCAACAATCCAAGATCGGTCTTCTGTGTCCCTGTAACAAGCGTGCCTTAACCCGCCGGGGAAGCCAAATCAATCTTGCCTGGAGAAGAGGGGAGGATAACGTGCGTCGTGAGCAGAAGAAGTAGAGTTCAAGTCTGTTTATTAACCAACCAAATTACTATCCAACCTACCCTTAAGCCTATTCTTAACTATAGGTCACTCTTCAAACCGATATCGCCTTGAATCTGGATCGCCCCCTTGCCACGTGTCGAAATTTCGTGCCCTGTACTCCAATGATAGCGCCAATATCCCCGATATCGTACCTAGAGCACCAAATGGACCAAAATCTCCTATATGGTACCAAATACCCATTCTTGGCACCCAAGTACCCAATATATGACCCAAAATGCCGAATGTGTCCAAATTCACTTTGCGACGTCAATTCGGACAGCTTCCACTGGCTCTTTCGGCATGAAACTTCTTGACATCACTTAGTGACCTCTATCAAGTATATTCCACATGATCCAGCATCTTCATCAACCATATATTCATGATCAGTGTGGAACATGACCGATCTGTCATCCAATATCGAGATGTTGGAGGTCGATCCGGTCTAAATCGGCAATTAACACTTTTTCATCTCCTCATACGTGCTTCAATATCATCCTCCAGTGTTATCCAATCGACAACTTCATTCATACGTCTCGACATCGGTTTCCTTGACTCCCCTGAGTATGCAAAACTTTCAGATCGGTGTATAATTAACCAAAATCAGTACTCCCAATTTAGGATCGGTAAAGAGTATCACCGATCCGTATGGTGTTGCACCTTCTTTGCCGATTCACCGACCCGTACCACCTGGTCCCAGATGCACTTTGGGGAGTCACCTTGTCCCAGATGTGTCAATTCTCCAACAAACCGTTGCCACAACATGTCGATCTGCGATCTGATCTTAGCCTGCTTCAATGTACGCATACTTCTTCTTGACCGGCATTCCAATGAGCTGTATGACTTCATCCCGATGTCTGGTTCCAGATCGCCCCATAACATTCTGCAAGATGTTACACCTTCGTCGCAGAGTCATATCCCATCACCCGGTCCCAGATCCTTGTCCCAGATTGTTCCATGTAAATCGTTCCAGATCGCTCCGTCCCAGGTCGATCCATACCCATTAGTCTAACGACAGTTGGATCGGTTCGCCGATCCCGTTAAGATCATCTTCCACCTCCGTATTGGATCGCCGAGTCTCATGGCCTCCTTTTCCACCAGTAAGCGGCGCTTTAAAGGTGTGGCCACCGATCCTCGTACAAAATTTGAGTAGTGACTTTGCCACAACCGCCCCCTGTACTGAAGTCTTTTGTACAGCAATTGACCTCAGTACAGTCACTCATCAACTTCGTTCCAAGCACTCAAGTCCGTCTCATGGCCTCTCCGACGCATCCACCCACCTCGTTGATCTCATCAGAAGGATCCACCATGTTTCTGTCTCCGGATCGCGACCTGTCGCCCGGATCGCCCGATCTCGGAGGACACACCCCAGCGGTCCCCGATCGGCCTGGGTCTCCGCGCCATCTAGGCCCAACCGGATCGCCCACAATCCCCACAGGATCGCCAGATCGACAGCCGACCAGACCCTCGTCTCCATCCCGAGACTCGCCATCTAGATCGCCGGATCGCGGGTGGTATGCTCCTATCGTCCCAGAATCAACATGAGTCTCTCAGTAATCCCAGATCGGTCGGATCGCTCTCGACCGACGCGGAATTATCAGATCGTTCTTCCGAGCCATTCCCGCTTCCCACTCCTCCGGCGGCCCCAGATGCGTCCAGATCCGACATCCCGGCCGCTAATGAATCTCGTGAAAGGTCTGCTCCAGCTGTGGGCGTCACCGGCTTCGTTCCCAGAGTTTCTGCCGACGACGTTCGTCTCACGATGGCCACGATCTCGTATTTATGGGATCGAGAGGCTACCTTCTGCAGCCAAGCCGACACCATTCATGCGCTTCAGCAGTCCTACCGAGATGCCGTCGCCCGGGGGGATCGCTTACAAGACGAGCTTGATTCGCTGTACAGATCAGCCGCCCCTTTTGTCTCCTTCGTCCAGCGTCGATATGACTGGATGCAGGGCCGCTAAGTCGACGCAGTGCATTCTTTGAGTGATTGCAATCGAGCTCTGCGGACATATCGAGATCAATCGGAGGAGGTTCGTCGGCTACGCACTTTGATATGTGCCAACGACGAGGCTCAGGGGAACTTGGAACGACAGGTGGATGCTTTGAGGGCTCAGCTTCATTCGCTCCAAGCCGAACTCAATTCTCTCCGACAGCAGCGTGATCAGCTGACCATGGACAGGTCCTTCCTTCACATAGATATTTTGCACTTGAAGGAGCAATTGGCTCAGTCTCAGGCGGAGATCGCAGATGGACTGTCTTCGATCAGCGATCTCATACAACAAGTGGATGGTTTGACTCCCCTAGAGGGTCAGTTGGCACTTTCGCAGGCGGAGAACGCCAACCTACGTCGTCAGCTTGCGGAACACCTCGAGGTACACGACCAGTTGCAGGTGGTGGAGCATGATCGGGATCAGGCTATAGCTGAACACCGTGCTCTCCTCGACACACTGAACAGTGCTATACTCGGGTCCCGGTCGTCTGCGTTGACCGCCCGACCGACGCCTAGAAGTGCTACTCTGGCCGGTCTTCGCCACCTGTTTCCGCATTCCAGGGATTGAGATCGCTTGCCCGTAGGTCCAGATCGAGATCGTCTGGCCCGCCGGCCAAGCGTCGGCGTGTCCAACCAAGGTCACGATCCAGGGACTCTTCTATCACCCGTTCGGCCTCCCGGGTATTGTCGCTGAACCCCTCAACACCTTCCAAGAAACGTCCCAGATCGGCCCCACCCGAGCCTTCATCCAATCCTTCTTCTTCTCCGCCTTCGTCCGCGGCTTCTGGGACTGGATCGGGAAGTGGGGAGCTGACCGAGTCGGATTCTAGCTCGGATGATTTGACTCGTGCTGCATTATCCCAATCGAGATCGGCCGCTCGTCGTCAACCTAGATCGGATGCCCGATCTTCGACCCCGAACCCCTCTCCGGCCGCTCGGGTTGTTCCCGCTTCTCCCGCAGCTACTGCGTTGGCTCAAGCACTGTTGCGTTCGCCTTCTCCAGACGTTCCGGAGCCTCGTTATCTTTCGTACCCATCCACTCCGGTCGCGGCTGTCCCCGTAGTCGAAATTCAAGATAATGGCGGCGTAGAAGACGTGGAGGTATCGCCGACAGGGGAGACACACAGCGAGACTGGCTCTGTTAGTCCGCCTCCGGAGTCCACTGCGCTTTCGGATCGCCATTCGTCCGATAGCGAAAACAGCATCACCCTTCCGGCACGCCAAGTGGCTAACAGAGTTTTCTCTTCCGTTGACTTCGACAATCTTCCGCCACTCCAGCAACCACGGGATCGGTGGATTCCCAACTATCTGGCGCCCTCCCGACGGGTAGCTTCCGAGATCGCTCCATGGTCCGTTTCGCGGATCGCGATGGTTTGCGTGAGGACCATGACCATTGAGCTGTTGTTTCACCACTACTCCAAGCCCAGGAATTTTCTGTTTCCCTTCTACAATCATGGACGAGCTCCGCCTACGGGGACTTGGGCTTCTGGGCTGATCTCGCGGCAACACATCGAGGCTCTTTACGCTACAGCCCCTTGGGATAATATCATAGTCCCAGTGAACCCGATATCGTTCACCATGACTGGATGGTATCGTGATATGAGTCATCGGTACCTGGAGCTTGAGTCCACTCATCGACAAGCTCTGTGGGAATCCACTCATGCTTTCCCGATTCCTCCGGCTCAACGGCGATCTGAACGGTTCATGCAGACATTCTGGCGCCAACGAAAACAACGCCGTTCTCGCTTTGGAGCGCGTTGGAAGATCTTCTTGAAGATGATACTCAGCGGCATGATCGCTGGCCACTGCGATCTCGACATCTTGCTAGATCCCTTCTTCCTCCACTATCCGCGCCCACATGAAGACCGAGTTTGGTATCCAGGGTTAGGACACTCTAACGACCCAGCTGACTTGCTAGAGGCGTTGGACATGGCAGACCAAGAGGATCCTTGGCGCAACCAGTTCCGTAACGCCTATTGGGATCATCCCGGATCGCAGATCCCTCGTCTGCAGGACAAGTTCAAACCTGCTCCATCGTCTTAGTCCAAGATCGATATCCAAGCCCGATCGTCTTTCATAATCGTGTAAGTCATTCAATCATCTTCTTTTTTGGTACTTCCATTCTTTGCAACTTCCACGATCTCGATCCTCATCGCTCCACATCATTCAGGAAGGTAATTCACTTGACTATCTCCATACTCACATACAAAAACCTCATCCACCAGTATGTGCTACCGTCTAGCACATCTTTCAACCCCTACATCCGCATATGCTACCTCCCGCATACTTGTTCGAACTGTTAAGGTTCGTCCGACTTGCCTTCATGAGACTGCATTACGTCGAAACGGTTTCGACTCACTCGGTTCCGCTCAAACTCTTGCAAGATCGCCCCACAACTTAGATCGGCCTCGTCCACCCAACTTAGATCGGGATATCCCTTCCACTTCACCAGAAACTGCCGGTGTACTCGCCCATAACGGGTTTTTCTACCAGATCGCACGTCCAATATTGCCTCTACTTCGTATTCCCCTTCTTCAAGATCGCCATCCCAACTGTCTTCTGGCAGCAGAGCTTCATCGAAATCCAAGCGATCTGATTCCTCTATCGTAAGCTGATCCTTCGGGCGTTCAGGGAACGTCTTTACCTTTTTTAGCTTCGATATATGTACAATCGGAAATAACCGATATGGGGTTCCAGCGATCTCCAATTTTACAGCATGATCTCCACATACGTCCGCAACTCGGAATGGCCCATGCCACATGTGCGCTAGCTTCTTCGCATATCCCTCTTTAACTCGGTCCAGGTATAGCCAAACTTGCGCTCCTACTTCGATCTCGTGTGGTTCCAGATCTTCGTTGTGTCGATCCGCTCGCTCCTGGATCGCGGCTTGTAGACGATCGTTCACTGCAGATCGGGCTCGCTGGTATTGTCTTTGGATTTTGTATCTCCACCTCTTTGGATCGCGATCTCGTGTCCCCGTATTCCCCACTGGTAGCGTAGCCTCCAAAGTCGATCGCGGGTCCCACCCATGAATCAGATAAAATGGGGTATCCCCCCGGATCCGATCTTGTGCAGTGTTAATGGCAAATGTGAGCCGCTCAGCATACTCATCCCAGTCTCGCTGGTCAACTTCAGCCACGTACATCTTGAGCGAATGTGTCAGGGTTTGCACCATTCGTTCGGCTGTTCCATTTGCTTGTGGCCTGTAAGCCATAGTAGCACGCTGTTTTTGTCCTACGATCCGACTGAAGGCTCGAAAGAAGTCGGACATAAATCCCGGTTCTCGATCGTGCCTGATAGCCTCGCTAGCTCCGAAGCGTCGAAACACACATTCTTCGTAATTCTCCGCTATTGTTTGTGCCGTCCGAGAGGAGCTAGCCTTTGCAATCACATATCCCGAGAAAAGGTCGACCCAAATGAGCAGTTCGGTGTTCCCCTTGATGGACTTGGGCAACGACGGTATATGATCCATGGCGATGATCTGGAATGGATAGGTTGCGTGTAGATTGCCCGGGGATTTCCCATGAATCATCGGGTTTCCTTTCCCGGTCTCACAGTCGGTACATTCGCCCACATATCGTTGAACGCTCCGATACAGTCCTCTCCAATGAAATCGCGATCTGATCCTCTGATAGGTTCGGCCAATACCCTGATGGCCTCCTTCCAGACTCGTGTGATAGTGATGCAAAAAATCCTGCTGCAACGTCTCAGGGATCACCAACCGCATCAAACCATCGCGATCTTCTGACTCTCTTTTCGCCATGGGGCAAAAAATAGCAGATTGTTCTCATCGATCTCGTATTCCGGCGCCAGTTTGGCGCACATCTTCACTTCTACCGCATCCAAGTTTGATACATCGCCACTTAGATATGTCTTGAGATTGACAATCCAACGCTCTTCATCTTGAGCTTGGACAATTCGTTGAATCCTGATCCTCTGTACTATCTCCTCCTGTATCACTTCAGGTTCATGACGTATCCTCCTGGCTGATCTCGTGATCGCAGTTACCCGAGCCAGCTGACCATCTTGCTTGGGCTTCAACAATTCATCGAGACGGTTCAGAGTCATCAGATCTTGCCGATCCTCTTCAGCTACAACCGTTCTTCCCTTTTCGCTCTGCAATGCTGTGCTGGCTAGTCGATCTGCGCTCTGATTCCACTCTCGCTTCATATGCAGAAACTCGTGACTAGGCCATGACCGCAGCTTCTCCAACGCTTTGTGTCTCAGAAGCTGAAGGCCCGGTGCCTTGCAGTCGATCTCACCGCGCATCTGTCGAATCACCAGACTGGAATCTCCACACAGTATTACTCGCCCCCTATCCAGATCGGCGAGTAACTCAAAGCACAGTAGCAAGCCATTATACTCAGCTTCATTCACAGTCAGATCGTGAACATATCTCGATTCGGCCGCCACGATCGTCCATTCGGGTAACTTCCATATCACGGCACTGAACGACCCTCCTTTCTTTTTTATCCTAGCCGATCCATCGAAACTGGCCACCAGCAACTCCTCATCTGTTTCCACCGTTGGAGGAGGCATCGATATTTTGAGTCGACAGTCTTTTCGTGGGGAGATCGCAATCAGCATCTCTTCCACTTCTCCTCTCGGAGTGATACTCGCTGCTAACATGCCCAGGATCTCTTCCTCTCCTCTTTCACATTTCTTCACCTCCATAGTCCAATTTGACAACAAAGCAGCCCACCGTCCTAATCTCCCGTTGAGCCCTCGAGACTGCATCAACCAGGCTAACGTAGAATGTCGGGTCAGTACAGTGATCTCCCGCGAGGCAAGCGTAGTATAGCATACATCCAACACACGAAGTAGCGCCAGCACTTCTTTTTCTACCGTTCCGTAGTTAAGCTCATTAGGCTTTAAAGTGCGGCTAGTAAACGTAACCGGATGGTACACGCCATCGTACTCCTGTATCAGGGCCGCTGAGACAGCCCACTTGCTAGCGTAGACCACGATTACGGGGGACCGATCTGGGTCGAAATGCTTGAGCATGGGAGCTGTAGCTATCTTAGCTTTTAGCATAGTGAAAGCAACCTTGGCTTCCGTCCATCGACCCTCGTTGGAGCATTCGTCTCCTGCTGCAAGCTGAGATCGGCCGATCTCGAAGAAATCCGATTCTCTTAACTCATACAACACCGCGGCATACACCGCGAAATCCTCAATGAAGCGACGGTAGTAGTTCAAGCTCCCGAGAAAGGATTGCATAGCTCGTAGCGTGCTAGGAAACGGGATGTTAACCAACGACTCTAGGTTCTTGGGCTGAGCCTCCAGACCATCCATCGACACTCGATGTCCCAAATAATCGACCTTACGGCACCCCCAAAAGCTCTTCGTGAGGCTGATAGACAGATTCCACTTATCACATGCCTCCAGCAACCGTTCTACTTTTGTGTACAAAGATCCCCATGACGTGGCTGGTATGAGAATATCGTCAATGTAAGATCGGCGTCCCAGTATAGACGGTCGTCGATCTGTCTCAGGTTCTCCATCTTTGAACACGTCGATCGGGCCATCAGAGGCTGATCTCTGACCGATCTTGAGATATCCATACAACGCATTGTCCACCAGACGTTGGTAGATCTGGGGCGCGTTCTTAAGCCCAAAAGGCATTCGCAGCCACTCGAACAAGCCAAACGGTGTGACAAACGCTGAGATCAGTTTTGCTCGTTCAGTCATTTCGACGACCCAAAATCCACTAGCCATGTCTAGCGAACAGTACCATAGAGCTTTATCCAGATCTTCCAACAGATCGCTGATCAACGGCATGGGATAAACCATCAGACGCGTCAGCTGGTTAACTCTTCGATAATCAATGCAAAGGCGAATATCCACTCCGTTCTTCTTGATGATCACCACTATCGGAGACGCCCAAGGTGACGTGGATGGCTGAACGATTTTGGCTGCTAATAGTCCTTTGATGAGATCTGACAGCTTCTCCCGATATTTGGGTGCGACCGGACGCACTCTTTGCGCTATCGGTGCTGCCCCACCGACATCAATATCACAGATCGCGCCTCGTGCTGCTGGTGGTAGAGCATTACCTTTACCCATGAGGAGGTGACGGCTCTTCCAGATCAGCGATCTGAGCCGTTGTTGATCTGTGGTGAGAGGCACATCGGGATCACCGATCTGAATGTCCTCAATCGTAACTTCTTCCGTAGTCGCCGACATCTCTGGTAGCACGGCCATATGCTGCTCGATATCTTCCGCAAACAAATCTCCGCTCTCGTGGTGATAAACTGGTATTTCTGCAATCTCGACGTCTTCAGTATTTAGCATTATTTCTTCTTTAGGCTCCTTCGTCTCTTCCGGCTGGTCCAATTTCAACAGTCGGTCAGTCAGCTCAGCCTTCGGTAGAGACGATCTGTCACGTAGCCCTTCTTGACCGGTGTCGCGGTCTCCCTTCGTTGCATGTTGGGTACCGATCTCATGACCGTTCTCCATCCGCGATAGTTCAGCTCCCCTGACCGTTACTTCCCTCGCAGCTACAGCATCTGCCTTTTGCGAATCGTCATCGTTAGCTTGCGGCGTTACCGTGGAGATCGCCGGAGACAGGTTCTGTAACGCATCAGACGGACGTTCAAGATGCGTTTGAGAGCAGCATACGTAGGACGATCTACCAATGGTCCGATCTGTTCTTTCGGGAGTTCGTTCACTCGATCCGTCGTAGCCTCATATGCCAGAGTTTGCCATTCCTTGTACTTCCCCGACCCGACTGTCACCAAACCTTGAGTCCGCGGTACCATATCGCCTTCGACCCACATGCCTAATATAGTGTGGGTGGGCAGTATGATCTCACGGTCGCCAATGTTGGTCATCTGCAGGTATTTCGTCTTACCCCACCCCGAGATCACAGTGGGGACCCAATCTAGTCCTCTAGCGACCCACAACTTCATCTTAGCCCCTCCGATCCCGATCTTCACTTCCCTTGACTCTCCGACCGGGATCACCACGTGTTGGTCCTTCGCCGTTATATGTTGTATCTTCGATCCGTACGCGGGGCGACGTCCTGCGAGATGAATGCGGATTTCTTCTGGTAGACATAGCGCGCCATCCGCTAGATCGAGCCGCACTCCAGCAGGCACCATAAAATCCATACCCAGAATCGCTTCTTGCCCTGCCAGATCGCCTACCCATACATTGAAATAGTATACCAGCGATCCCGCGAGGGTCACCTTGATCTTGGTACGTCCTACCGTCATGTACGGAGTGTCCCCAATCCCGATACATTCTTGTCGTTGACTTTCGTCAATATTGCAACCGACCTCACGAGCAAAGGTGGTGTCAATGATCGACACTTCAGCACCAGAATCAAATAACAGAGTAGCTTTTACGTTGTTGATCTTGCCAACGGCTTTCGCTTGTTTGAACCACTTCCCGGGTGAATAATGTTTCCAGTATCCGCGAGATTCACCATAAGCGAGCTCGATCTCCATAGCTGGTTCAGATCGTGAGTACTCATCGATCCGCTTCAGATGGGACACGGAAGCGACACGTTTTAACTTCGAACGAGATATATTTGTTTCCACGTCAATATCCTGCTTACTCTCGCGATCTGTCTTCTCTTTTTCCACGTATGCAATAATGCAGAGCCCAGAACGCTCGGCTCGTACCAGATTCAAACCTGGCGAGCGTCCTAGTTTAACATCTTCTCGGCCTTCTCTGGTAGCATCCCCGCATGCTTATTCGGGACGTACCACTGACGGATCATGTTGTAGAACTCCTCCATGGGACACTTCCCCGGGTCGTGCATCTCACCGCAAGCACGACACACGAAAAAACAATTGTCAGAGGGGTGTCCTTTACGCCCACACTTCTGGCAAGTGAGCCGCTTCCAGCAACCGAGATCTCCATGCTTGGTCGATCCGCAATGAGTACACGGCTTCAATGGCATATTGCGATCTTGATAGTCTTGACGAGTGTTCGGGTCGACCGATCTCGCGTTTGCTGCAACGTCATTGGGGGATGAACGGCGATCCGCAGTAGCAGCCACATGGATCGATCTCAATCGATCTTCCAAATCCGATCCGCAGGTGTCCGATCCTGACTCGCTGCAGACGTCCTCGGTACGGACCATCCTTACCGCTCGTGCAGGCTTAGACAGCGCTGGACCCTGAGTTCCCTTCTGCCTGAATTTGGACGATCCCATCATCACTTTCCCTTGACGCGATCTCCCTTGTTGATATCCGTGCAGTGTCTTTTGCATGGCCTCCGCGTCTTCTACATTCAGCAGTAGCAATTGATTGGACAGACCGGGGTCGTCCAAGGTGTCAATGAAATGGTTGACATGTTCCTTGCGAGCAGCTGGCAATCCAGTCATTACCGGTATCTTCGCCTGCATTCCCATCACATTAAGCCGATACAGGTACTGTAAAGGATCTTCCTCCGATCGTTTCTTTGCATGGTAGTACTGCCTGCTCGCGGACATCCCGTGTCCCGCATACTCCACAAGAAAACTGTTCATCAATTCTTTCCAATTGAATCTCGTCGATCTACTCAGCTGTCGGTACCAGTAGCGGGCTGGGCCCACCATGAGATCACCGAAGACCAGACATCTCTCCTCGTCCGGTGCTTGGTCCCGGATAAACGCTGATTTCAATTTGCCGATCCAGGTCCGTGCTTTGTCTTCTTCCCGATTCTTCCCTGAGAATTCTTTCAGCTCAGAAATCGCTGAGATTCTGATCCTCTGCGTGATGCTTCCCCCTCCGGTAGTCGCACCTGTCGCGGCTACATGAGGGCGCCGTGGTTCGGGCATCCATAGATCATCCGGGTCGTATTCCGCCGCCTCATGGATACGTTGGTAAATGTCCGACCCCACCGACTCCATCTCCACATCCGGCATGTCAAGGCTTTCGTGTGAAGGTTGGAGCAAAGTACGTCGATCTGGGTAGCGGTTTGGCTGTCGATTCATTCGCTGAGCTGTACGTTGATCCGCCTCGTACTTCTTCATGGCTGAATTGAAGTACCGACTTAGATAGCCCTCTTCTTGATCCTCCAGCCCAGTGCGGGTACTGGCCGATCTCTGCGGCATGTTGCTCTTGGCTTGTCCCTTATAGGCGTCGATCTTGGCTTGTCCGATCTTGTCCTTTAAGAACCTTCCACCCGATGGTCCTAGAGACATCTGACGAATGCTGATGGATCCATCTGACTCGCTCTCGGAGTCATCCGAGGCGTAGCGGGGCGATCCCGCGGGGTGTTTACAGAGCGAGCCCGAGGGCGTCTCGATCTTGTCTTCAGGAGTATTCGCTTTGCCCACCAGCATTATCATGATCTCTACAAACTCATTCGCCGCGTCCTTCAACTGTTCCAAGCTGCAACTCAGCAGTTCATCTCCATCAAAAGCGTCAGGGCAGATACCCATGTCGTCCAACATCTGCAAAATCACATTGATCTCGTCGACTTTGTTGGTCCCGTGAAGTGGGACCGAGATCGGCTTATCCAGAGGACCAATCACCTTGGGCCTTAACATCTTGAACACTGGGTCCGTCTTGAGCAGCGTCTTCAACTGGCCATAATAGTACTGCCATTTTGCACGCTCCCGCGCTTCACCCGTCGTCTCCTTCTCCATGGACGCGATCTTTATTGGTTTATATTCCGTCTTTGGCATCGCGATCTTATCTGGTGTTTCATCGTATTCCTCTTTGGCTCCGATCTTCGATTGCACGGTTCGGCCAATCTGGCGATCTTTGACATCTGATCCCATCGATCTCGTCGCGGATCGTTTTGATGTGGTCGATCTCGCGATTGTGCTCTTCGGCTTAAGGCCGGTCGATCTATCGACTAAGATATAGGGTTTGGCTTTCGCCGATTTGGTTTTCACCATTGGATTTTCATCCAGCAGATCGCTCTTTGCAGAGCGATCTGCGGTGGCCCCCGAAGGGACCCTAGGAGGGAATTGAGGTTTATCTTCCAGATCGATCTCTCGATCTTCCTCTTTCATTTTCATTTCATCAGAGCCCCTCCCGAAAATCTGATGATCTGAGGATCTTGTGCTTCTGCGTGTCTGCGTCGATCCCTTTGTCGCTGACACTTCAATCCCAGGTTCTTGCTTAATCTTGATATCTTCTCCAGTGGACTCACGGTGAAATCTAGAGGCCTCAGAAGATCCGGGCACGCGCACCATTGTGGTGAAGTCGATCTCACAAAATTGCTTGTATGAGTGTCGACCTTCCACTTGCCCAGACTTGCCGACTCACGGAGGGGGTACTCCGATCCGTGCCTTGTTGTATGACCTTGTGCTCACCTTGTGTACCCGTCGGTTGGGCTGGCTTGAGCTCTTCGTAACGGCCTTGGGAGATGTCGATCTCGCTGAGAGGTTGGGTTGAGGGTTCGCTTCCGGTGCGGAAATCTTCACACCACGAACGGGGGGTTCTGCGATCCCGATCTTGGATCGCGCCGATCTTGATTTGTCTTCGAGATCGGGGTCTTTGCTGTGCGGAAATCTTCACTCAGCAAATAAAAGTCCTGCGTCGATCTTGCCTTGGGATCGGTCCGATCTGGTCTTGGGATCGGCCGATCTTGCCGGAAGTGCGCAATTTGGGTAGATCGGTGTCTTGTTTCGCCAAAATGAAACGTGCCGATCTGTCCAGGGGATCGCTTCGATCCTGCTCGGTCTTGTCTTGAACGCCTTGTCCAGATCTTCTGACCACTTGAGCCGTCTCGCGATCCTGTGTCCAAAATCCTTTTCCTTTTCCGTTGTGTGCTGCTACCCTAGCAGTTGAGTTGAGTGTGAGTACTTGATCGATCCGGGCCAGATATCCCGGGATCGCTCTTCTCGATCTTGGCCAACAATCCAAGATCGGTCTTCTGTGTCCCTGTAACACGCGTGCCTTAACCCGCCGGGGAAGCCAAATCAATCTTGCCTGGAGAAGAGGGGAGGACAACGTGCGTCGTGAGCAGAAGAAGTAGAGTTCAAGTCTGTTTATTAACCAACCAAATTACTATCCAACCTACCCTTAAGCCTATTCTTAACTATAGGTCACTCTTCAAACCGATATCGCCTTGAATCTGGATCGCCCCCTTGCCACGTGTCGAAATTTCGTGCCCTGTACTCCAATGATAGCGCCAATATCCCCGATATCGTACCTAGAGCACCAAATGGACCAAAATCTCCTATATGGTACCAAATACCCATTCTTGGCACCTAAGTACCCAATATATGACCCAAAATGCCGAATGTGTCCAAATTCACTTTGCGACGTCAATTCGGACAGCTTCCACTGGCTCTTTCGGCATGAAACTTCTTGACATCACTTAGTGACCTCTATCAAGTATATTCCACATGATCCAGCATCTTCATCAACCATATATTCATGACCAGTGTGGAACATGACCGATCTGTCATCCAATATCGAGATGTTGGAGGTCGATCCGGTCTAAATCGGCAATTAACACTTTTTCATCTCCTCATACGTGCTTCAATATCATCCTCCAGTGTTATCCAATCGACAACTTCATTCATACGTCTCGACATCGGTTTCCTTGACTCCCCTGAGTATGCAAAACTTCCAGATCGGTGTATAATTAACCAAAATCAGTACTCCCAATTTAGGATCGGTAAAGAGTATCACCGATCCGTATGGTGTTGCACCTTCTTTGCCGATTCACCGACCCGTACCACCTGGTCCCAGATGCACTTTGGGGAGTCACCTTGTCCCAGATGTGTCAATTCTCCAACAAACCGTTGCCACAACATGTCGATCTGCGATCTGATCTTAGCCTGCTTCAATGTACGTATACTTCTTCTTGACCGGCATTCCAATGAGCTGTATGACTTCATCCCGATGTCTGGTTCCAGATCGCCCCATAACATTCTGCAAGATGTTACACCTTCGTCGCAGAGTCATATCCCATCACCGGTCCCAGATCCTTGTCCCAGATTGTTCCATGTAAATCGTTCCAGATCGCTCCGTCCCAGGTCGATCCATACCCATTAGTCTAACGACAGTTGGATCGGTTCGCCGATCCCGTTAAGATCATCTTCCACCTCCGTATTGGATCGCCGAGTCTCATGGCCTCCTTTTCCACCAGTAAGCGGCGCTTTAAAGGTGTGGCCACCGATCCTCGTACAAAATTTGAGTAGTGACTTTGCCACAATATCAATGTGTTTGGCGCGGCCGTGGTTGACCGGATTCTTGGTCATTTTGATGCAGGACTGGTTGTCTTCGCGGATAATGAGCTCGGGTCCGTCCTCGTTAGCAGCCACCATGATCTCGCATAGTAAGCGGTGGATCCATTTGCCTTCTTGAATCGCCAGACTTAGCGCAATGCACTCTGCTTCACTTGTAGACAGTGACACACTTGACTGCTTCTTGATGGCCCAACTCACTGGAGCACTTAATAGCATAACAACGTAGCCAGACGTTGACTTGCGATCGGTAAGGTCGCCTGCCCAGTTTGCGTCCGAATAGCCACGAAAGTCGATCCTTGCACTTGGCTTGTAGCAAATTCCATGTATCTTAGTGTCTTGTAGGTAGCGAAAGATGCGCTTGACCGCAACCCAGTGTTCTTCCTGGAGATTCTCCATGAAGCGCGACACAAAGCTCACAGCGTAGGCGATATCCGGTCGTCTTGTAGTTGTCAGATGCATCAAAGCACTAACAGCTTCACGGAATGGAACATCGATCTTGCTCGCAGTGTTGCTTGACATCAGTCGAGAGCTGACATCTACAGGACTTGCCACAGCCTTGCACGCCTCCATTCCAAAGCGCTTGAGGATATCGTCGACATATCTTCGCTGAAATGTAGTCACACTACCATCTTCACCATCCAAAGATCGATCCCAAGAACAAATTCACACTTGCCGCTGTCTGTCATCTCGAAACGTGTCTTCAGGTCGTTCTTGGTTCGTGCAATTAGCTCGAGCGAGCTTCCAGTCACCAAGACGTCGTCCACGTAGACCAGTACAAATACACACTGGCCGTCCGAAGTCTTGATGTAGAGACATGGGTCTAAAGTTTTTGGACAAAGCTGGTAAAATGCAAAGTGAATATATTTAGGTCCTCAGTTCGCAAAGTCTGTTGCTTCTCCAAGCCTACTTGATTCTGCGACTATACGTTCCTAATCGCTATATCGCACATTACTAATCGTCTAGTCGCGCATTAGTAATCGCTATATCGCACATTACTAATCGTCTAGTCGCGCATTAGTAATCACCACATCGCGCATTAGTAATCGTCTAGTTGTACGTTTCTAATTCTGGTCGTGCGTTTCTAAACACCCAAACGTAGCGAAAGTGGGGGACGTCACTGTCTGGCAGGACAGTGCTGGTGAACCCCAAACACCAGATCCCAAAAGTTTGACATCCTAGTTTGCAAGCCCCACCGGTATCGAACCAGTAACCTTTGGGATGGTACTGCCATACTAAACCGGCTGAGGTACAGAACACTTTTCTAAACCGTCATGCCGAGGCGTACAATATGCAACAGGGTCGAAGTCCGATACTTGTAATCCAATGGAGCACACAAACTCGTCGAATGTCTCATTCCACACTCGTGACGCTGCTTGAAGCCGTAAATTGACTTCACCAATTCCAGGCAGTCGAACGTACCATCAAATTCAACGCCTTCAGGAATCAACAGAACACTTGTTCCTTCATGACGCCATACAGGAAAGCTGTCACCACATCGAGCTGGTCGAGGGGCCATCCAAAGTGCTTGGAAATTGCGATCACCATTCGCAGCGTCACATATTTGACCACGGACGAAAACGTCTCCGTGTAGTCGATTCCATACTTTAAGCGAAAGCCCTTGGCCACAAGTCGTGCCTTGTACTTCTCGATTGAAGCGTCCGCTTTTCGCTTGATCTTGAACACCCACTTTGTGCCAATGGCACGTTGTCCGTTGGGCAGCTTGGCTGCACGAAACACACCGCAAAGTCGCATTGACTCGAGCTCTGCATGAATTGCTTTTCGCCAGTGCACTTGGTCAGGACCGCCCACTGCCGCCTCGAATGTTGAGGGATCCGATAAATCCGCTGCTGTTTCAACGGCACTCGTACTCGCACGCCAAAACACAGGCGGAGTTGATTCATCAGAATCCTTCGTTTCTTCGTCTTCTTCTTGGCGTGACGAGTTGCTTTCTGGCGCGCTTGACTCTTCTAGTACAGGTCGTTAATGCAATGCACGCGGTCGTGGAGCTGCTGTATCTTCATCACGGACGCGGTTTCTTCACTTGCCTGTTTGCTTGTACTACACGATGATAGTCGGCGTCCATAAGGAGCAATATCAGTCCGAACGCAGTGTTGTCCGTCTTGACATATTCGTCACTGGATGATAGTCGGCGTCCATAAGGAGCAACATCAGTCCGAACGGAGTGTTGTCCGTCTTGACATATTCGTCACTGGCGCGAGAATCCACGAAGCTTGGTGTCGTCTCCCGATTGACCACTTGCCACGTCTATATGGTGAGGAACACACCACGCATGTAGCAGATCCACGTCGCGCAGTTGTTTCCGTCGAATTTGTCGATGAAGATCTTGGCGGTAGAATCTTGGGAAGAGGGCAACGTGCTTGGGCTCATACCTGTTTAAGTCTGAAGAGCACTGGACGAGGATGCGAAGCTTGTAGAATGCTAAAGAAGTTCACTCCGCAAAGTGAAGACAACTTGTGCTGAAAACGGAATGTTTGAAAGTGATTGATTTTAGGTCTTAACTCTGCCTACTCTAGACTTTATCCAATCACATAATGCGTCTAATCTACCTGATTCACGTACGTCCAATCATCCTACACGACTAATCAATATGTAACGTCATCAAGATGACGTCACAGACCTACCGAAATGACGCGAGATCGGATCGGGCAGGATAACTTGTAACCGGTACAAAGAAGAACATAACCCGCAATACTCCCCCTCAATGCGAACACAATTGTTTAATAATGAAGAATACGCTTGACCGCCCCCAATGCTCGACTTGGGGTTTCTCCCTGAAGCCCACGAGAAAAGGAATGTCTGGTCTTGTCGCGGTCATTAAGTGCATCAAAGCGCCTACTGCCTCACAAGACGGAGCGTTGATCTTGGTTGCTGCGTCGCTTGGTGTGCGTCGAGAACTTGTATCCGATGGACTGATGACAGCATTGCAATCGCTTATGCCAAAACGCTCGAGAACGTCGTCCACGTATCGTCGCTGGCACATTGTCACACTACCGCCGATGTTGTACACAGCTCGATGCCCAATACGAACGCGCGCTTGCCGCTGTCAGTGATCTCGGAACGCATCTTCAAGTCACCCTTGGTAATCACAATCATCTCAGTCGAACTACCCATTGCCAACACATTATCGACGTAGACCAACAACTGCACGCACTGTCCGCTTTCGACCTTGAGATCGAGGCATGGGTCGAAGTCGGACGCTTGAAATCCAATCGAGCAAACAAAGTCATGGAAAGTATCGCTCCATACCCGCGATGCTTGTTTCAGTCCGTAGATCGCTTTCATCAGTTCAGAGAAGTCAAAGTCTTCATCGACTTCGGCACCCTTTGGGACCGCGCAAAACACTGTTCTCTTCATTTCGCCATACAGGAAAGCTGTCATCACATGCAGTTGTTCCAGCATCGAGATCAAGTACTTCGTGATCATCATGCGGATCTTCATATACCTGACAACTGTCGAGAACGTCTCCGTAAAGTCAATGCCATATCTTTGCTTGAACCCTTTGCCGCGAGTCTCGCCTTGTACTTTAAGATCGATCCATCAATCCTGCGCTCAATCTTGAACATCCAATTAGTGCTAATGGTGTGCTATAAAGCTGGTACTCGGTCTCTCGAAACATGCCACGCAGCTTTATTGAGTCCGATACGGCGCAAAAGGCCTTACGCCAACGAACTTGATCCGGACCACCAACTGCGTCTTAAAACATTTTCGGCTCGGACAAGTCAGTACCTTCGACTGCATTTGCACTTGCTTGTCAAAAGACTTGAGAAAAGAGTCGTTATCTTCATCTTCGTCACCGTCTTTGCTCTCTTCGTCCATATTGAATAGAGTCCTTGAAAACCGTTTCGCTTGGTGTGACTCAAAGTCATCTGGTGCACTTGCTTCTTTTAACCCGGCTCCACTGCGATTAGGAAGTATCTATTGATAGACTTGCT